CAGCACCGGACTAAGGGGCAGCACCGGACTAAGGGGCAGCACCGGACTAAGGGACAGTACCTGACTAAGGGGCAGCACCGGACTAAGGGGCAGCACCAGACTAAGGGGCAGCACCGGACTAAGGGGCAGCACCAGGATAAGGGGCAGCACCTGACTCAATGGCGGATCCTGGCTGGCTGGCTCTGGCGGATCCTGGCTGGACGGCTCTGGCGGATCCTGGCTGAACGGCTCATGGCTGGCTGAAGGATCTGGCTGCTCATGGCTGGCTGACGGATCTGGCTGATCCTGTCTGGCCGAAGGCTCTGGCTGATCCTGTCTGGCGGAAGGCTCTGGCTGATCCGGTCTGGCGGAAGGCTCTGGCTGATCCTGTCTGGCGGAAGGCTCTGGCTGATCCTGTCTGGCGGAAGGCTCTGGCTGATCCTGTCTGGCGGAAGGCTCTGGCTGATCCTGTCTGGCGGAAGGCTCTGGCTGATCCTGTCTGGCGGAAGGCTCTGGCTGATCCTGTCTGGCGGAAGGCTTTAGCAGCTCCGGTCTGGCGGACGGCTCATGGCAGACGGGCGGCTTATGCAGCGCTTGGCAGACGGACAGTTCAGACGGCGTTGGGCAGACAGGCAGTTCAGGCGCCGTTGGGCAGACGGGCAGTTCAAGCGCCGTTGGGCAGACGGGCAGTTCAGGCGCCGTTGGGCAGACGGGCAGTTCAGGCGCCGCTGGGCAGACGGGCAGTTCAGGCGCCGTTGGGCAGACGGGCAGTTCAGGCGCCGTTGGGCAGACGGGCAGTTCAGGCGCCGTTGGGCAGACGGCAGACTCTGGCCGTCTGAGGCGCATCGTAGGCCTGGTGCGTGGTGCCGGAACAGGAGGTACCGGGCTGAGGACACGCATCTCAGGGCTAGTGCGGGGAGAAGCAACAGGGCATGCTGGACCCTGGGGACGCACCGTAGGCCTGATGCGTGGTGCCGGAACTGGAGGTACCGGGCTGAGGACACGCATCTCAGGGCTAGTGCGGGAAGCAGCAACAGGGCATGCTTGGCCCTGGGGACGCACCGTAGGCCTGATGCGTGGTGCCGGAACTGGAGGTACCGGGCTGAGGACACGCATCTCAGGGCTAGTGCGGGGAGAAGCAACAGGGCATGCTGGACCCTGGGAACGCACATAAGGGCTAGTGCGGAGAGCCGGAACAGGGCATGCTGGACCCTGGGGACTCACATTAAGCCTAGTGCGGAGAGCAGCAACAGGACGCACAGGACTCGGGAGACACACAGGAGGCTTGGGGCGTGGTGTAGGCACTGGTGGGAAAGGGCTGGCGACGCGCACCGTATCCCTGGTGCGAGTGGCCGGAACAGGCCGGGCCGGGCTGGCGAAGCGCACCGTATCCCTGGTGCGAGTGGCCGGAACAGGCCGGGCTGGGCTGGCGAAGCGCACCGTATCCCTGGTGCGAGTGGCCGGAACAGGCCGGGCTGGGCTGGCGAAGCGCACCGTATCCCTGGTGCGAGTGGCCGGAAACAGGCCGGGCTGGGCTGGCGAAGCGCACCGTATCCCTGGTGCGAGTGGCCGGAACAGGCCGGGTCGGGCTGGCGAAGCGCACCGTATCCTTGGTGCGAGGGGTCGTAACAGGCCGGACCGTACTGGAGGCACACACCACTGGCTCTACCCCGGGAACTGGAACGGGCCGGACCGGACTGGATACACACCTCAGTCTCTCACGCCGTGCCTCTACATCTCCTTTCCCTACTTTGGCCAGTGACCCCCGTAACCTGGTTGCCTCTTGAATTCGCCCCTTCTCTGCCTCCGTTAGCCCCGTCGTCCAAGCCATGTGCCCCCCCCAAAAAACTTTTTGGGGTTGCCTCTCGACCTTCCGACGATGGCCCTGCTGACGCCGTTGCTCCTCTCGCCGTCGCCTCTCCACCGTTTCGCTCCATGGACGGCGATCCATCCCATCCAGGATCTCCTCCCAAGTCCAGGACCCCTTTCCGTCCAAAATCTCCTCCCATGTCCAGGAAGCCTTTGGAGCTGGGTCCTGTTGCCGCTTGACACGCTGCTTGGTCCTTTGATGGTGGGTTTTTCTGTCACGATCGTCTGAAGAAGCGGACCAATACGCAGCGCGTGGAGTGAACATGATGACTTTATTTAATAAAGCAACCACGAAAAACAACAAATGACGATAGTGAAGTCCTCTGTAACACTGACAGAAACATGGAACAAAAACCCACAACCCAAGGAGAAACCACACAGTTTAAATATGGCTCCCAATCAGAGATAACGAGCCGACAGCAGACACTCGTTACCTCCGATTGGGAGTCATATGACTAATCAAGAACAATCACCCAACATAGAAATGAACAACTAGAATCCCCAACATAGAAATACACCCAAACAATGAAAATGAACAACCCTGGCTCAATAATCAAAGTCCATGGAGCCAGAGTGTCACACACACCTACTCATTCCAGGGTTTTTCTTTATTTTTACTATTTTCTACACTGTAAGATAATAGTGAAGACATCAAAACTATGAAATAACACATATGGAATCATGTAGTAACCCAAAAAAGTGTTAAACAGATCAAAATATATTGTATATTTTAGATTCTTCAAAGTAGCCACCCTTTGCCTTGATGACAGCTTTGCACACTCTTGGCATTCTCTCAACCAGCTTCATGAGGTAGTCACATGGAATGCATTTAAGTTAACAGTTGTGCCAATTTGTGGAATTTCTTTCATTCTTAAATCGTTTGAGCCAATCAGTTGTGTTGTGACAAGGTAGGGGTGGTATACAGAAGATAGCCCTATTTGGTAAAAGACCAAGTCCATATTATGGCAAGAACAGCTCAAATAAACAAAGAGAAACGACAGTCCATCATTACTTTAAGACATGAAGGTCAGTCAATACGGAACATTTGAACTTTGAAAGTTTCTTCAAGTGCAGTCGCAAAAACCATCAAGTGCAATGATGAAACTGGCTCTCATGAGGATCGCCACAGGAAAGGAAGACCCAGAGTTACCTCTGCTGCAGAGGATAAGTTCATTAGAGTTACCAGCCTTAGAAATTGCTGCCCAAATAAATGCTTCACAGAGTTCAAGTAACAGACACATCTCAACATCAACTGTTCAGAGGAGACTGCATGAATCAGGCCTTCATGGTCGAATTGCTGCAAAGAAACCACTACTAAAGGACACCAATAATAAGAAGAGACTTGCTTGGGCCAAGAAACATGAGCAATGGACATTAGACTGGTGGAAATCTGTCCTTTGGTCTGATGAGTCCAAAATTGAGATTTATTGTTCCTAGCGCCGTGTCTTTGTGAGACGCAGAGTAGGTGAACGGATGATCTCTGCATGTGTAGTTCCCACCGTGAAGCATGGAGGAGGAGGTGTGATGGTGTCAGGGTGCTTTGCTGGTGACACTGTCAGTGATTTATTTAGAATTCAAGGCACACTTAACCAGCATGGCTACCACAGCATTCTGCAGCGATACGCCATCCCGCCTGGTTTGCGCTTAGTGGGACTATCATTTGTTTTTCAACTGGACAATGACCCAACACACCTCCAGGCTGTGTAAGGGCTATTTGACCAAGAAGGAGAGTGATGGAGTGCTGCATCAGATGACCTGGCCTCCACAATCGCCCAACCTCAACCCAATTGAGATGGTTTGGGATGAGTTGGACCACAGAGTGAAGGAAAAGCAGCCAACAAGTGCTCAGCATATGTAGGAACTCCTTTAAGACTGTTGGAAAAGCATTCCAGGTGAAGCTGGTTGAGAGAATGCCAAGAGTGTGCAAAGCTGTCATCAAGGCAAAGGGTGGCTACTTGGAAGAATCTCAAATATAAAATATATTTTGATTTGTTTAACACTTTTTTTGGTTACTACATGATTCCATATGTGTTATTTCATAGTTTTGATGTCTTCACTATTATTCTACAATGTAGAATATAGTAAAAAATAAAGAAAAACCCTTGAATGAGTAGGTGTGTCCAAACTTTTGACTGGTACTGTATGTCCTCAAAGAGTGAAGAAGGCAAGTGTAATCAGGTGGCACCATTCTAGCCAATGAGAGGGCAGATACGCGTGTGAACAACACGTTTTTCTCAAAGTTTCTAGAATGCCACGTGCATCCACTTATTTCAGTACATTTGTATCCGCCTAAACATAGCAAAACTTCTATTCGATCAAATAAGCATCAAGTAATTCGACACTCTCATAGAACTCCATACAAAAAAGGGCTTATCTCACTCGTACAGATTTTGGGCGGAGTAAATCCTCTAGTTTCGCGTCTTCCTCTCTGATATAAATGAAATAAACCCTGGATTACTGATGCTATGTATTGGCCAATGAAAGGCTTTGAAGCCACAGGTTGGTCATATTGGCACTCCCCAGAAGAAGCAGTCCTCCATAGGAATGAATGGAATTCTACAGTATTTAAATGAATTGTTTCATGGACAAAATTACATGTATTTAAGTATTTTTTTGTTGTAATTACACTAAGGATTATTTTATTTTTTATGTTTAGCTCACATAATGTAATTCAAAAGTATGCATTAAGGTGTCTGTAATGGAATACATGTGGCAAAAACAAATTTAGACATTAATAAATACATTTCTATAGCTTCCAAAACATTTTTTTTTAAAGTGCCCCTTGTCAGTCATCTAGTGTATACTGTATATACATTATTGGGTCCTACACTAATGAACCTGAGGTCCCGGGAATAGAGACTGCCAATTGGCTAATAAGATAACGATTGTCCCTATGTCCCCTCTCACTCTCATCACACCAGGATTTTATAGAGGGGTGAAAGGATGTCCTGAGGCTGGGGGGGATGATCTGTACCTAAGCAGCTACTCAGGTGAGAGATTTCACTGGTTTCAGGTGTTGCATGCATAGAAGGATTGGCAGCACCATTTAAAGGCAGTGAAGTCTTCATAAATCGAAAATGTATTGTCATTGGTTGGTTGCATTAATACACACTTGGAAGAAGTGGAACAAGGACAACACAAGTTCAACAAAACCCTCATCAGTTTATTGTCTTTCAGCAAGAAAAGGTTAATAATCTCACATTGCTTAACTTCGCCCCAGGAGTTTCCTCAATCCTCCCGTGAAGTTTTTAAAGAGAGACTAAAACACCTTCCATCGAACCAACCACAAAAACAAGTTTTACAGTCTCTCAGTGTCTATTGTTCTCAAACTTGACAAATGTGATAAGAACAACATGGACTACTTTCCTCTTAAGCTATGTAGGCCTATATGTCATGACGAAACATTCATTGCTTGTATTGAGCAATGCCATAGTTCAAGTAATAGAGACAGAATTAACATTTCCGCGCCTCTGGCAGTTCACACAAAATGTTCTTAAAAATGGTCACATCAGATGAATAATGCCACCAATCAAGAGTTAGTGCATTTCTATGGCAAATGCTGATGACCCCCGATAATCATAATCATTCAATTCTAACATTACAAATACTGTTGGATTGCACTTTCCTCAAGCTTTTATCTTCTGTGGCATATTTCAGAAGATATATATATAATATAAAAAAATACTTTGAGTAACAGAATATAATGTACAGTCCATTTATGTTTTGATCAAGCACATGTGTGGTGTGTTTTTCCCCCATCACCATAAACGTAATTTTCTGGTCGGAATACATATTTTCTCACTAATAAGAAGTGCTTTGGTTATTGGGTACAATATGGAAAATGTTGTTCTAAGAATATCCAGAAAATGGTTTATGCTACATACAGTACATATCAACTGGTAACTGGGTTATAATTTGACAACAGAAATAAATCAGCGCTATTGTCAAATTGCGCTACATCAGTTCCTATACTTGCATGACTATGTACTCAAATACTCAGAACGAGTTTGGTACGTAACACAGCTAGCTATGCCACTGAGTCAGCCATCTTGTTTTTCTGCACCATTATATTCTAAAACCCACTTTAAATGATCTGCCGTGCATGGACATCACACCAATTTAGAAAGAAATCTAAATTCTAAGGTATTGGGTGTATTACGGTCTCATTTTACATTAGCACCAGTTCTTTGGGTTGTCAAAATGGGGCCCTGGAAGTCCAAATAAAAAAGAGCACTTGACAAATATAAACATATTGTGATGTAGTACATGTTGTCAGTCATCCACTGGATGACTAGGCCCACTAATGAAAACAAATAGTATCCCATAAAATAGAATGTGAAAAAATGGGTACAAAAAAAACAATAGCAAACAGAATCTTATAAAAACACAAAGTCCCAGCTGACATTCAAGTTCCGGTCAAAGTTCCAATCAAGTGAAATCACATTCACAAATCTGTTGGAATCATCCTAGTGCAAATTTCACACATTCTTCTTCTTCGAGAAAAGTACGCTCTCAAGTTGTCTCCGTAGGATAGCTTCAGTATGCAAACTCATCCTCCCCCTCAAGTTGCTTCAGTACGCAAGCACATCCGCCCTCAAGTTGTCCTAGTAGGACTGCTACAGTACGCAAACAGGTCCCACATCCGTCTAGTCTACATCTCTGGAGCGGCTGCAGGGAGTCCAGCGGGTAGTTTAGTAGAAGTCTGTAGAAGATGGTGTTCCTCTGTCTTTAGTAGCAGGCAGTCCTCTGTGGCTGCGCGGGGCGAAGCTGACGAGACAGGGGTGACGTGGACGGGGTGCGCCAGCCGGACGTCCAGGGCTTGATTGTGCTGTGCCAGGGAGTTGAGGCGGTAGTGCAGTACGAGCTCCTTCAGAGAGCAGTGGAGGTCGTAGGGCTCAGCGAAGCCGTAACCACGTGGCGTGCTGTAGATCATGCAATGCTTTACTTCTTCATTCACACTGAAAGGTTACAAAATAAAGATACGTTAGTACCAGTGTAGCAGCCCCTGAGCCTTGAAACATGCATCAAAGTGAAGTAACTGCTTTACAAGAGCTATCTCCTTTCCTTCATGACCATTTACATATTATTCATTTCTCACAGGAAGAGAACACTCACACTACAGAGCAGGCGTAGCAGCCCTGCTTGCTGCTCTCTCGGATCAGGAAGGTTCCGGTGGGTTTGTCCATCAGCATCTCCTCAGCCTGCGTCCTGCTCAGCTCGCCCACGAACCAGCTCCCCTCATCATGGTGCGCCAGCCTCTCCCGTTCCCCCTTCAACACATAGGTACTGCACACACACCAGGGAGGACATTGTTAAAACCTTTCATTGATAACAATCATTAAGAAATAGTGTGCTTACTATTAATAAATGTGTATTTAATCATTTCTAAACAAGTATATGCACTACAAGTATTTCTAAGCACAACTAAGTACAATTAAGAAGTATTATAAGAATTTAGGTCTATACTATGAAATACTTACTCGTCACTGCTATCGTCTTGGATCCCCAGCCAATCGTTAATGCGTTTCTGTCGCACTCCTTTGTGACTCAGCCAACTGACAAACCAAAGGGACAAAAAAATTACGTCCGTGCCAACCCACTGGTCACAGACATCATTTCAATGTCTAGTTTTGATTTAATTTTGGTTGAGCTGTCAACTAACATGAATTCAATGTGAAATCAACAAATAAATTCACCATGTCATTGGATTTAGGTTAAAGGTTGGGTGAAAAAATGACAAAATTCCCTTATGTTGATTCAACGTCATCACCTATAATTTTTGTTGTTGAAATGATGTGGAAACAACGTTTATTCAACTAGTTTTTCCCAGTGGGAATGGCTTGAAAAAAGCTACTTTTCATTAACAGTGACTGGAATAAAATAGAATAGAAGTATTGCAACTTACTTGAAGTACTGGTCCCTGATGTTGCGTAGCTCTATGAGGTCAGGCCTGAGGCTGTTGATCCTCCGGTCTGTCTCTCTATAGTCCTGGACCTGGGTCCTCAGGTCCTGCTCCAGGTGGACCTTACTGTTGTAGATCTCCCCCAGCCGAGACTTCAGCTTCTCATAGTTCATCAGGAAGCTGGAAGGGCAAATGTCAATGGTCATAAGGGGTCAAAAGATGGGTCATGGGTCATGCCACTAAGCTGAAACACAGCTGCACGCATGTTGGAAGGAGGAAACAATAAAGAGACATCTATCTATCCACACTATGAGCATATGAGGAGATTCCATGTGGGATAGACGCAGCGATGTTGTTGCCTTAGTTTGCCAAACTCACCTCTCCAGGTCCTTGTCTGTTCCCTCAGATCGACTGCTCCTCTCACACTCCTCCCCGTAACGCTCCTGCTCACGACACTGCTCCTCGAAGATCAGCATGGTCTCGTTGAAGGCATCTATCGCTGTTCTCTTCATCTGGATCTCCTGTGAGGTTTTAGTGTAGACCTCGTATAGACGGTCAAATTCTTGACTCTTCTCCTGATACTGACTATGGTACTCCTGGAGCTTCCTCCCAGCCACATCAACACTGTCCTCTTTCACCAGCTCATCCTGGGTACAGACATGCAGACAAATGTAATATAGCAGACAACTAACCGATTGGCTAACTTGTCTGTGTATGACGATTATCTTCCATTTACTTAGGAAACCAAAGGCAAATTTCACTCCCTCACAAACTTCCATCTCCAAATGGACACAAAAATGGTATTATATTCTATTCTACTCTATTCCATTCTTTGAAGACTGTCTTGAGACTGAGAGTAGAGGAGAGGTGTGGGTGGGTGTCTCCTGCCTACCTGTTGGAAGCGGGATACAGGGTGTGTGAGCATGACGTCCAGCACAGCATTGTACTCCACCAGAGGATGGTGCTGGTAGTGCCAGATGAGCTCCACCACGGAGCTGAAGGTCAGGGGCTCTGAGAAGCCGTACTTCCCATCACGGTGGTAGATCTTTATCAACTTGCTGTGGCCATCTTTCCTCAGTGTTAGCGTGAAGTCTCCTTGTGTCTTAGTGGAAGCATCACGAACCAGGAAGGAACCGTCAGGTGTGTCGCAGAGCTTCTCGTTGACTTCCTCCCTGGAAATGTCTCCCCAGTACCACTCGGCATCTTGCAGGGGAAAGACTGGGGCTTCCCTGAGGCAGTTGTGGCTCATGGAGGAGGTCATGGGCTTTGTTGACCTAGGAGGGAGAGCTGAGAGAGAAAGAGAGTGATCAGGATTACAGTTTCCTGAGATAATGATCAGTTTGAGAGGAAGTGATAGAACTGCAAACATAACCTGTCACCTCATTATCACCCCACCCCACCACACACACATACTCTTGGCAAATTTGTCTAATCTCCAGACAAGCCTAGGCATGTCCCCAGCTGATAACAGCTCAGGTCCTATCAGGGCCCAGAGCTACTGTATCAGGACTGACAACATGCCAGACTGCCACATCCAAAAACGATGGAGGACAAGATGGTTCAATGAAAAATAACGTGGGTTCACACACAAAGTCGGCTAACTCCATTATGTTTTTAGTATTTTTTCTTGCGGGGGAAATAGATTTCACACATTTTTCAACAAGTCAGAAAAACCAACAAATAATCTAAAACAACTAAATGTAAATGCTGCAAATTCAGCACATTTTCACTCTGTCTGTAAAGTGCAAATGTAGGCTTAATTTAGGAAAGGGTACATTTTACATCCCCTGGTTGTCTTGTGTCCAAATTCTGCAACTGCCCCAAAACCATCCATCTTCTGTAAGGATACTAAAGTTATGATACTCTATAAAACTATTATATTTGTCTTTACCGTAGGACTTTTCAAAACCCTCTTAACTTTTCAATTTGATGCAAACCGCATCAAGGGGGAAGAAGGGCGATATGTTTCACTACATGACAAAAGTACATTTTAGGAACCTGTAGCAGCAAAAGCTGAAAGCCTGGATTCCTAGACTGTATGACTTGTGACTGTGCCCCAAGCCCTCACTCTAGAGGTGGTGTCATGATGTAAAGTAATACACAAATACAGTATATGAGGAATATACTTTAGAAACCCCCAGATTTAAATCTCACGTTCTCTTTCTTTTAATTCAAGAAACATAGTAAAGTGTCCCTCTTTATTTGACACCAGCCAGTCCAAAACAGGCTATGGCTATGTAATTGTAACTGTAATCCCATGGAGACAGCTGAATCAACAATTTCACAATATGTGATAATATTCATTACAATATCACATCAACTAGCATACAGCCGTCCATTGGCAGTTTCAACGTAAATCATGCGACAAGTTGCCTAGACTGGTCTGGTAGGCTTTCAGTGGTTGCGCACGAATTAACTACGGTCGGCTACAGTAGACAAGAGAAAAAAGGGGAACAAAGCAGTCATTTCATGCGGCATTTCTTCTCCACTCAACCTTGTTCGGGCGCTGGTAAAACGCGTTATTATAAACATAATACTAGGTTAGAGAGAATTTCATCAACCTATAACCAAAAATACCAAGCTTAATTTTGATATATCTCTTTGGTAGGACAAAGCAAGACTGAGAAAGAGCGAATCCACCGCGTCAATGAGAAAAGTATTACGTAATTGTCAAGCAGAGAATTGCACTATGCATGCCTGGGCAAAGCACATGAGGGTGCCAGCACAGACACCTGTGTGTGCACAACTGGCCATATGTCAACTTTCTATCATAAGCGGTTAATAAAATGTGATAGGCATTTTAATAGAATAAAGATCCAACAAATACCTGGAGGTGCCTGATCCATTTCGATGTAGAATAGGACTTCAGAAGAATAAAACATCCCGTTCCAAACGTTTAAATTCCTAATCGTTTTGTGGGATTCCTTTCCCTTTCTCACGATGCGTGAAAATATAACTTTTTCTTGCACCAGAGTGAAAGGATCACAATGGCGATTCGTTTTAGGAGCCTATGCGTCCTACTTCAGATTAGACAGCCCAGTAGCAGAATTATTCATTAGTCCAATTTGAGAGAATTTCATCAGCACCAAACTCGTAATTCGTTCAATACATTTAATCACAAAAGCAGTTCTGCAAAAAATATAGATTGTCATTTTCAGCCACGTCTCTCAGCACTGCCGATCGGCTCCGCTCCAAACTTCGTCGTAGAGGCAGCGGTCAGGAGATTTTAAAGGGATCTGCAACATCATCTTTGGAGAAACCACCACTTTCAGAGGGAGAGCTGTCGTCACAAGACGGATTTCTTAATGCAGACAGACTGAAAATACATTTCTGATGTAAATCGGAAATAGTATCTTGTTGTCTTGTATTTGAATAATTGTAGCCTATACTTGAATGCAGCTTTTATAGACTTACGATTATTGGTGAGCGATTTGTTTAATAACCGTACACATACACCCCTAAATTAAAAGTGGTACGTTCCTTGCCTGATGGTTTCATTTAAGGCTTTCAATGCAAGGTAATTGTAACTGCTGATTAATTCGACGACACATTACATATTAATATAACTAGCGAAGACTCACAGATACATTGTTTATTTTTAATAATGCAAAAGCATGTGCTTAGTAGCCCTTTACACTCGTACTCGCCTGTCATCGATGTCTACTTTTATTTATTTATATATACATCATTTTGACAGTAACGTTAACCCTGCAAAAAGTCATTCATAAACCTTTATAATTTCCATATGTATTAGAAAGCTAAGTATTTGTTTCTTGGGCTTGTGACTGATCAAAGTGCCTCAGGCCTTGAAAAAGAAATACTTGAACTGATTGAAAGTAAGGCGATATGTATGGGTTGGTGTGAGGTGTGACCCAGGTGCAGTGCAGGATAGATAGGAGGCAGTTGGCAGAGATGGTGAAACAAGGATCTTTACTGGTGGTCCCAAAACCAGGATACAAAATAAAGGACTTGTCACGATAAAATAAAGGAGGAGCAAATTGGTCTCCAAAAACAGGCTGACAGCAAACACACGAAATACTAACTACGACTGAAAAAAACAATGAAACAGGGAGAACACTTCTCAAGTACCTGTACATACATCTCACCATCAGACACTGATTAGTACTGTTTGGCATCGAGAAACTAGCAGAGAAAACAGAGCAAGGGAACACAGGGAAGTGATGGCATAAATACACAGGTGAACAGGTAGACACAGGTGACACCAATAGGAAAATGATTAGTCCAGACTGTGAGTGAGGAGGTGCCTAAGGTTGTCGGAGGATGACACCTAGTGGGTCGATCTGGAACTGTGACCCCCTCCTGTAATGTTGTTATCAGCTATCAGTTATGTCCCTCCTGGGCACCCAGGACTGCTCCTCCGGCCCATAACCCTCCCAGTCCACCAGAAATTGGAGACCCCTCCCCACCCGCCGGCAGTCCAGGATCCGGTCCACAGTAAAAGCTGGCTGCCCTCCGACAAGGCGCAGCGGGGGAACAGGACGAGGAGGGGGAGCCAGGGGACAGGTGGCGACGTGTTTGAGGAGGGACACGCCAGACCACTCTGAATAGCCCGACGAACCGGGAACACAGCTCCTGGACTCTACGCGGAGGGGAAGATCCCGCGTGGAGAGCCACACCCTCTGTCCCGGGCAAACAACCGGGGCCGGGCGACGCATGCGGTTGACCTGATGTTGAGACCTGACCGAGGCCCGCTTAAGCGCCGCCCGTACCTGCCTCCAGGTGCGGCGACAGCGACTGATGTGGGCCTGGACCGAAGGGACCGCCGCCTCCTCCTCTTGTTCGGGGAATAGGGGGGTTGGTACCCGTATTGGCACTGGAAGGGGGACAGGCCGGTGGACGAGCAGAGCAGAGGAGTCGCTGACTCCACATAGCTGGGTTGCTGAAGGCGTAGCACCTCAGCACCCCCTCTAGATCCTGGTTGACGCAGTCCTTCTGCCCGTTTGACTGGGGATGGAAGCCGGAAGACAAGCTTACGGAGGTGCCGAGGCAGGTGGCGAACGCCTTCCAGAACCTGGAGGCAAACTGAGGACCCCGATCTGACACCACATCTTGGGGAGGCCGTGGACCCGGAAAACATGCTGCACCACCAACTTAGACGTCTCCCGGGCCGACGGGAGTTTGAGAAGGGGAATGAAGAGGGCAGCCTTCGAAAACCGGTCCACAACGACCAGGATGACTGTGTATCCATCAGTGGGGGGTAGGGCAGAAATTAAATCCAGCGAGATGTGGGACCAGGGGCACTTGGGGATAGGCAGGGGTCGGAGCAGCCCTGCCACGGGCTGACATGAGCTCTTCATGCGCGCACACACCGGGCAAGCCGCAACGAAGGTGCGCGTATCCCCCTCAGCTGATGGCCACCAGAACCTCCTACGCAGGAACTCCAACATTCTGGTGCCCCCCGGATGGCTGGTGAGGTCGGATGCGTGCGCCCACTGAAGCAGTTGCGAGCGCGCAGCCGTGGGTACGTACACCCTCCCCGATGGACCGCCGTAGCGCTGCTCTGACCAGCCTATCAATTCCCCACGAAACTGGGGCAGCAATCAGGGCATTGGGGACAATGGGGTCGTCCATCTCCACCAGGTCCACGGAGTCGAACAGCCGGGAGAGTGCGTCAGGCTTGGTGTTCTTCGACCCCGGATGGTATGAGATCGTGAACCGGAACCTAGTGAAGAACAATGCCCACCTGGCCTGGCATGAGTTGAGCCTCTTGGCCCCCTGAATGTAGGCTAAGTTCTTACTTTCAGTCCATACGACGAATGGATGGGTGTCCCCTCTAGCCAATGCCTCCACTCCCCCAGGGCGAGCTTGACCGCTAGCAGCTCACGGTTCCCCACGTCGTAATTCCGCTCCACCGGGGACAGCCGACGGGAGAAAAACACGCAGGGGTGAGTCTTACCGTCCGTGAGGAACCGCTGGGACAGGATTGCTCCCACCTGAAGCATCCACCTCCACAATGAATGGCAGGGACGGATCAGGATGCCCTAGGACCGGGCTGATGTAAAGCGCCGCTTAAGCACATCAAATGCGTTTCCCGCTTCCGGGGTCCAGGCGAAGAGGCGCACGCTCGTCTAGGTGAGGGCTGTCAGCAAGGGAACACAGGGAAGTGAGGGCATAAATACACAGGTGAACAGGTAGACACAGGTGACACCAATAGGATAATGATTAGTCGAGACTGTGAGTGAGGAGGTGCCTAAGGTTGTCGGAGGATGACACCTAGTGGGTCGCTCTGGAACTGCGACACCCTCCTGTAACAGGGATATCGGTGAACAATTGCGGTGTTCAAGGCTATGACGGCGCCAGTGCAATGAGTGGAGCTTACTCAGGTGTTCAAAAGCGCAAATCAGACCGAGAGCCTAAT